TATAACTCTGGTTGGGGGGATGGGTCTCCATTCCACAACTTATAAAGAACAAGAGATTTCCTGTCAACTGGGAGAGATCTCCTGTATATTTAACCCATAAAGGCTGGGACAATAAACATTGAATTGTTTTAATAGCTGCTGGATTCTAGCCATTATTTTGCATGTTATTAGACTATTCCCTCTTGGTCATGTCCTTTCTGGAGCCAACGGGCTGAGATTTCTGGCCACCTGTCATTGAACTTCTTGTATGACTGGGAAGAAGACATCATTTGTGAGTCTGCTCTTGGTTTATATAATGGCATTACAGCATTTTCCATATTACTCACACTTACCAATCTTATCTTAAGATCTAACACAGACTTCCTTTTTCTGCAGCAGTAAGGAAGAGAAGAGATTGTGCTAGCCCTCCGATTTGAAAATCCTGCATGGTGAGAACTACAGCTCACCTCCAATGGGGCAGCATGTTTCGAGAATGTGGTTCTTTTTGCTTATACCACTCTGATGCTCCTGGCCCTGCGCAGAGTTTTCAAAAAGGCAGTTCCAGACCTTGAGACTATCACTGCATTGCAGGGCTCTTTAATCCATCTCAAGGTATGCTTATTTCCCACTTCTTCCAGCACTTTCCCCCTGCAACACACATGTGCATGCCTGATTTGTACCATTCTACTCTGCACTTTTTTGCATTTCTTTTTTTGTTTATGCTTTGGAGACAAATGAAATCTGCTTTTGTTTACTGGAAAGTATGCTTTATTTTCCCATCATTGAGCATCTGGTGTTTGTAAAATTCACAACAAACCTTTCCAATGGAAAATCAGGCCAGCTTGAGTTTGCAGTGCCAGGAGTTCATATGTGCCATGATCTTTGTGCTAAAAAGGTATTGCAGTGTCCAAACCCTAGAATGCAGCAACCAAACAAGTTTCACGTTGACAAAAAGCTACATTAAAATACTGAAAATTCATGCTGTCCTCCAAGGTGTGTTTAGTGAAGGCTGCAAATTACTGCACTGGCCAAGTAACCTTGTGTTTAAAAGCTCCCTGCCCAAAGGAAACAGTGGCAGGCAGAGAGTTTCCTGTGATCCTAGAAGTACCTGCAAACATTTGTGCTCCCAAAATAAAAGCTAA